CACTTAGTCACAAACACTGGCCAAAATTGGCGTTTTTGCATTTTTCACACACAAACAAATACTAACGCTAACTTTGGCCAGTGTTTGTGACCAAATGGCTACTAAAAAAGACTGGACATACCCCATTTGCAATACCTTGGGTTGTCTACTATTGCAAATGGTATGCCATTTTGGGTGTAAATTTCATTCCTCGGCTACTATAAAGTCCCAAAGGCAACGTAACCAATCTGGCGAATTTCAATTTGTAACGTGCTATATTTGACCCTGTAACTTCCCAAAACACCATAAAACCTGTACATAGGGGGTACTGTTTTACACATGAGACTTTGCTGAATACAAATATGTGTATTTTATTGCAGTAAAAGCAAACAGTATTAAGACATTGACAGTTAAAATGTCATGTAGAACTAAAAAAAAAAGAAATCTTATTTTCTTCCATTTGTTTCATATTAAATTATGTTTCATAGCTAAATGTTTGTTTTTAAATGAAAGCCCTGTTTCCCCTGAATAAAATGATATATAATAAGGGTGGGTGCATTTACTATGAAAGAGGTGAATTACGGCTGGACAGACATGTAGCGCAAATGCCAGGTTTTGTTTACATTTTGTTTCATTCACAACGTGTACATTTGGCTCTGTCCTTAAGGGGTTAAACAGTGAGCAGCCACTGGCTGCTCACTGTTTACTAGATAGATTTTAATCTCCCTTATGCTAATGTGGGGGTCATATTGACCCTCATAGAATGACAGGGGGCATGGGGGGAGTTAGAAAGTGGCAGGGAGTACTGCTTCCCGCCGCTTATATTTTCAAATATTACAAGGAGGGAGCCACGAGCCGGTAGCTCCCTCCTTGTAATAAACCTAACAAATGAATGAAGAGGTCTTCGTTCATTCTTTTGAAATTTCTATTAATTTATTCATCTTTCTGACGAATGAATGGATTAAATTCCCGCCTAAATGCCCAAGTGTTTAACTGGGCATGCGTAGGAACTTCACAGCGCTATCTAGTGTGGGCAGATGACATGTCCCACCGGGCCTTCATCTGCCCACACTAAGATGGCGGCGTCCAGGACCTAAAAATCGGTAATATGGGGGACCTAGGGACATTTGGAGGTAACTATGGGGGGGCAATTAGATGTAGGGCAGTCGGGAGGGGGGTTAAATAAAATAACGGATGCGGCCCTACTTACTGTGGGGGTGCCAGGGAACTCATGGTGCCATAACCATTCCAGCTGTCTGCAGTAGTTATAGTGGTCAGAATGCAGCTGTCTGCAGTAGTTATAGTGGTCAGAGTGCAGCTGTCTGCAGTAGTTATAGTGGTCAGAGTGCAGCTGTCTGCAGTAGTTATAGTGGTCAGAGTGCAGCTGTCTGCAGTAGTTATAGTGGTCAGAGTGCAGCTGTCTGCAGTAGTTATAGTGGTCAGAGTGCAGCTGTCTGCAGTAGTTATAGTGGTCAGAGTGCAGCTGTCTGCAGTAGTTATAGTGGTCAGAGTGCAGCTGTCTGCAGTAGTTATAGTGGTCAGAGTGCAGCTGTCTGCAGTAGTTATAGTGGTCAGAGTGCAGCTGTCTGCAGTAGTTATAGTGGTCAGAGTGCAGCTGTCTGCAGTAGTTATAGTGGTCAGAGTGCAGCTGTCTGCAGTAGTTATAGTGGTCAGAGTGCAGCTGTCTGCAGTAGTTATAGTGGTCAGAGTGCAGCTGTCTGCAGTAGTTATAGTGGTCAGAGTGCAGCTGTCTGCAGTAGTTATAGTGGTCAGTGTGTTGATGTAATATGTGAATGGCCAGGAATTTAAAATGAGCAATAAACAAACTGCAAGTGTTATGGCAGGCCAGGTCTGAAATTCACATTGAATTATCCCACAATAGCCCTGTCTGGCTTCCTGTGCTGCTCACTAGAATTAACATTACCAGCAGCAGAGTGCACTCCGCCGGGATAGCCCGATCCGAACCTGCAGGGAGCAGCATGACTGGCTTCACAATCTGACGTCACGCCGCGGCGACGGCGCACTCGAAGCGCGTCACCGGCCTCCCCTCGGCGGCCTTCACGGTTCTGTAGTGACAGTTAGCTGCCCGTTCATTTGCCTGTATTAAGAAAAAATTGTCAGGCAGCGGCTGGGACAGCTTCCCGCCCGGCCTCCCGCTGGTTACAGCACAGTGCTGTGTGTTTACTGGGAGTTACTGGCAGCTGTATGGGCTGGGATACACAGTGTGTGACAGACACCACCTGGAGATACACACAGGTAGGGCTCATCTGCTGATACCCAGCAAATAGACTGTGTGTGTGTGTATATAGATAGATAGATAGATAATTAACATGGGAGAGGACTGGGACTAAGCTGGTTTATTATCAGGGCTTATATTGCCAGGGATTCAAAGTGAATGTCAGAAATCTCCAAGGATGCTGTATTATGTGCAGTTGAGCTATTTTGGCATCAACATTGGAATTTACTTTGGTTTACTGACAAATCAAACTAGAAGTGTTTATTCACTAAACTACGAATTGTTTTGAGTTTGCAATAAAAAGAAGGAAGTAAAAGGTTACCAAGGTGCTGCCATTAGCCGAGTTGGAGAGTCTCTGTAGATTAGTTACATTTGATGAAATGTTGTTATTGGGATTTTAATTTGACACAATGTGGAGTTTAGTTATGGGACAGTATCATCGATAGATCATGCCTCTGCAGTGTCACTGCTCAATTCTCTGCCATCCAGGACTTTTGTTTCAGTTTATGCAGAACTACTCACACCTACCTGCATGTGTAGCTCACCTACCTGTTGTGTAGCTCACACAACCTGCCTACACTTCGTTTAAAGTGTGATCTAATGTTTAAACTTCCTTTATTGCATATTCTGTTTAATATGGAATTTCTTATCTCCTTCTCTGTAAATGGCATTCTAGACCCTGCATAAGACGGGACATACTAAAAGGAATGACAGATTGGAATGCCCATAGACTTTAACAAGGCACTGGAATGCCCATAGAGAATAATGGAAGTGAAAGGAATGCCCATAGAGAATAATGGAAACAAAATATTTCAATTAGAGACAAAACTATTACACATATGAAATCCATATTTTGCCACAATACTCTCCAGATTCAGTGTCAATTTTTGAAATTGAAATTAAGTGGGATTATCATTGTTTTCTATAGATTAACAATGGTGAATGACTAAAGAGAATGCCCATAGACTATAATGGGAGGCAACACATAAACTAATTTGCAGGTAAATCTGTGTTGTGTAGCAAATTCATCTTTACCACAGGTGTTCCCCAAGTACAGCAGTAGATTGTAAAAGTAAAATTATCTGGGATTATAGCTCTTTTCTATGGAATGTCATGTAAATGATGCAATGGAATGCCCATAGAGTATAATGGAAGTAATATGTGACTTGGAATCTGAACCGTGAAACATATCAAGTAAAGCTTTTGCAGGCATACTCTGCGAGTTCAGTGGCAATTTTTTTAAATGAGATTAAGTGGGATTATCATTGTTTTCTATAGAATGACAATGGTGAATGACTAAAGAGAATGCCCATAGACTATAATGGGAGGCAACACATAAACTAATTTGCAGGTAAATCTGTGTTGTGTAGCAAATTCATCTTTACCACAGGTGTTCCCCAAGTACAGCAGTAGATTCTAAAACTAAAAATAACTGTGATTATAGCTCTTTTCTATGGAATGACAGGTAAATGATGCAATGGAATGCCCATAGAGTATAATGGGAAGCAATATGTGACTTGGTATCTGAACCGTAAAACATATCAAGTAAATCTTTTGCAGGCATACTCTGCGCGTTCAGTGGCAATTTTTTTAAATGGAAATTAAGTGGGATTATCATTGTTTTCTATAGAATAACAATGGTGAATGACTAAAGAGAATGCCCATAGACTATAATGGGATGCAACACATAAACTAATTTGCAGGTAAATCTCTGTTGTGTAGCAAATTCATCTTTTCCACAGGTGTTCCCCAAGTACAGCAGTAGATTGTAAAATTAAAAGTAACTGGGATTAAAGCTCTTTTCTATGGAATGACAGGTAAATGATACAATGGAATGCCCATAGAGTATAATGGGAAGCAATATGTGACTTGGAATCTGAACCGTGAAACATATCAAGTAAATCTTTTGCAGGCATACTCTACGAGTTCAGTGGCAATTTTTGAAATTGAGATTAAGTGGGATTATCATTGTTTTCTATAGAATGACAATGGTGAATGACTAAAGAGAATGCCCATAGACTATAATGGAAGGCAACACATAAACTCATTTGCAGGTAAATCTGTGTTGTGTAGCAAATTCATCTTTTCCACAGGTGTTCCCCAAGTACAGCAGTAGATTCTAAAATTAAAAGTAACTGGGATTATAGCTCTTTTCTATGGAATGACAGGTAAATGATGCAATGGAATGCCCATAGAGTATAATGGAAAGCAATATGTGACTTGGAATCTGAACCGTGAAACATATCAAGTAAAGCTTTTGCAGGCATACTCTATGAGTTCAGTGGCAATTTTTGAAATTGAGATTAAGTGGGATTATCATTGTTTTCTATAGAATGACAATGGTGAATGACTAAAGGGAATGCCCATAGACTATAATGGAAGGCAACACATAAACTAATTTGCAGGTAAATCTGTGTTATGTAGCAAATTCATCTTTACCACATGTGTTCCCCAAGTACAGCAGTAGATTCTAAAATTAAAAATAACTGGGATTATAGCTCTTTTCTATGGAATGACAGGTAAATGATACAATGGAATGCCCATAGAGTATAATGGGAAGCAATATGTGACTTGGAATCTGAACCGTGAAACATATCAAGTAAATCTTTTGCAGGCATACTCTACGAGTTCAGTGGCAATTTTTGAAATTGAGTTAAGTGGGATTATCATTGTTTTCTATAGAATGACAATGGTGAATGACTAAAGAGAATGCCCATAGACTATAATGGGAGGCAACACATAAACTCATTTGCAGGTAAATCTGTGTTGTGTAGCAAATTCATCTTTTCCACAGGTGTTCCCCAAGTACAGCAGTAGATTGTAAAATTAAAAGTAACTGGGATTATAGCTCTTTTCTATGGAATGACAGGTAAATGATGCAATGGAATGCCCATAGAGTATAATGGCAAGTAATATGTGACTTGGAATCTGAACCGTGAAACATATCAAGTAAATCTTTTGCAGGCATACTCTACGAGTTCAGTGGCAATTTTTGAAATTGAGATTAAGTGGGATTATCATTGTTTTCTATAGAATGACAATGGTGAATGACTAAAGAGAATGCCCATAGATTATAATGGGAGGCAACACATAAACTCATTTGCAGGTAAATCTGTGTTGTGTAGCAAATTCATCTTTACCACAGGTGTTCCCCAAGTACAGCAGTAGATTGTAAAATTATCTGGGATTATAGCTCTTTTCTATGGAATGACAGGTAAATGATGCAATGGAATGCCCATAGAGTATAATGGGAAGCAATATGTGACTTGGTATCTGAACCGTAAAACATATCAAGTAAATCTTTTGCAGGCATACTCTGCGCGTTCAGTGGCAATTTTTTTAAATTGAGATTAAGTGGGATTATCATTGTTTTCTATAGAATGACAATGGTGAATGAATTAAGAGAATGCCCATAGAGTATAATGGGAAGTAGAATATAAACTCATTTGCAGGGAAATCTGTGTTACATAGCAAATTAACCTTTGCCACAGGGGTTCCCCAAGTACAGCAGCAGATTGTAACGTTAAAAGTAACTGGGATTATAGCTCTTTTCTATGGAATGACAGGTGAATGATACAATGGAATGCCCATCGAGTATAGTGTATATCAACTCTTTTGTAAGGAAATCTGAAAGACATAGCAAGTTAAACATAGCATCCCTCCTTAGACAACTTAGACTACAGCATTTAGCCTACAACTACAGCCCCTAACCCTTAATTGCAGCCCACATCCCCATACTACAGACCCTACACCCTACTACAGTCCTTTAGTCCCCACTACAGCCCCCATACTCTACTTTAACCCATAACCCCCTACTACATCCCTGTAACAAACTACCCTTCTTCATTGGCTTTTGGAGAGGCCTTCTTGACAGCCTCTTGCCCTGTGACTATGGCCCCTGGGTTGTATTGCCCTTTAAAAACTCTATTTGTGCCTATTGTATTTTGGAGCACTGTTTCTGCCCCTTTAAATGGTACTGGTACAGTTCTGCACTTTTGAAGTGGCACTTCGGATGCAGCTGAAGTGCCGAAGTAGTCGAAGAAGCTGCCATTCGACATACGAACACGTGGCGGCGGCCATTTTAATTCAGTCGAAAGCGTTCAGCGGTGTCTAGTTGTCGAGTTCATGGAACTCAAATCGGATATGCGACGGGACGAACACCGCTGAACTTTACCTTCTCCAGACTTCGACGCTTCGACTGGAGTCGAAAACTGTTTGACAATTCGAACAGCACTTTAACATTGACTGTTTGCACAAATGGTTGCCGTTCGTCTAATTGAACTAAATCTGACTGTCTGCCAGAGTCTGTGTGTGTGTGTGTGTGTGTGTGTGTGCTGTCTGCCTCTGTGTGGCTGTCTGCCTCTGTGTGTTGTGTGGCAAAATATCACATACAACCAATACACACATACACACACAGTTAATACACCCAATACAGATATCACACATAGCATATATATCACACAGTCATCACACCTATCACATACACAGACAACACAAACATTACATCATACATGGATGACGGGGGAGGGGGGGCGCTGTGAAGATTTTTCGCACAGGGCGCCTAAAGGCCTAAGGGTGGCCCTGAATGTAACACATGGTTTCATACTTACCTCTTAGGTGACATTATGTATGTATTGCCTCATCTTAGACCATGTGTAACTACTGTTTTATTTTTTTCTTACTTATCTCATACTGCGAACAGTTGTAATTTGTATGTGCAAACTACAATAAAATACAAATTATAAAAAAATAAATAAATAAAGCCTCAGTTCCTTCTGTTCCTGCTTAACCTTCAATACATAGTCTTGTCTCGTTATTGTAGGGAACTGCTATACTTTTATACTCCCCTGAGCTCTAATCACTTAGCTCTTTTAAGAGCTGTTCCTGATACGCTCTCCTGGAGGAGAGGTCTTTCCCACACGGTCCTGGAGGACAGAGGTTGATCCAGGGTGGAAGGAAGACGGTGTGACTCCAGGTAAGTTACGGCGGTTGTGGAGTCTGCGGTGGTTGTGGTTTCCGGTGCGTGGTTATGGTCCTCGGCGTCAGCTAGGAAGCGTCCGTCAACGGAGGTGCCCAATCGGGGTACCAGGTGATCCGTTACAAGCCCCTTACTGTAAAATTGCAGCCTCCATACCCTACTACAGCCCCAAACCCCCTACTAAAGCCCCTTTAATCCAACAACAGCCCCTAACCCAACTACAGCACCGAACCCCTCCACTAAAGCCCCTTATTCCCACTGAACCCCCATACCCCAAAGTAGCTCATATCCCCCACTACAGCCCTAAGCACCCTACTACAGTCCCATACCCCCACCCCTACTGCAGCACCTATCCCACACTACAGTACCTACCCCCAAATGTAGCCCAGAACCCCTCACTATAGTCCTTATCCCCCACTGCAGCCCCTAACTTCCCTACTACAGCCTCTATCCCTCCAACTAAAACCCCTATTCTCTTACCACAGTCCCTTTCCCCCACTACAGTCACTCTTATCCATTACAGCCTTTTTTTCTCCAACTGCAGCCATTCCCCAATTCAGCCCCTGACCCCATACCACAGCCATTATCTCCCCACTAGGCTCCCCCGGGGCAGGCGGCCAGTGGCTTCCTGGGCGGGCGGCGAGGCAGCACTTTCAATGCAACCCGCAATGATGCCGGGAGCCGGAATATGACATCATATTCCGGCTCCCGGCATCACTCTGCGGCGCGCGAGGGAGCTGAGGGGAAAGTGCTCCCTCACTGAAAACTGCACGTCTGGCCGCCTCCCTGCCCAGCAGCCCCACTGGACCTCAGGTGAAAAGTCCACGCAGCTATCCCAAACGTAGGGAGGCTGGGTGGATTTAAATAAATAAAAAATAATAATAATAATTGCGAGTGTGAGAAAATGTGTGTTAGTGAATGTGAGTCAGTGAATGTGTCAGTGAATGTGAGTGTGTCAGTGAATGTGTGTGTTTCAGTGAATGTGTGTGTTTCAATGAGTGAGTGTGTGTCTGTCAGTCAGTGCGTGCGTCTGTCAGTATGAGTGTGTGTCTAAGTGTATGTCTGTCTATCAGTGTGTCAAATCAGTGAGTGTGTGTATGTCATTTTTTTGTCAGTGTATATGAGAGTGTGTGTCTGTCAGTGACTGTGTGAGTCTGTCAGTAAGTGTGCATCTGTCAGTCAAAGTGCAGCCTTGACATGAAGGGGTGGGGAAAATTTTAATTAGGGGGGGTGCCCGAGCACCGTCCTGCCTAGGGCAGCACAAAACCTAAATACATCACTGATTAGGTATACATATCTGTATTCTTTACACTACAGTCCTGATGCACCTTAATAAATAGGTCTCTGTGGCAAAACTAGCCACTTGGACTAACTTGGACAATATGTGGGAAAAGTTGCCTGTATCTTTATTGTGCTGTACTATGTGCCTGGCTGTAATTGACTGCCTTCTCTGTATGTTTCATTGATCTGTCAGCTATCTGCCGAAAGCAGGTAGCCTTACTGTGTTTCGTTTCACGAACAGCGCCTTTGCGAGCTGTTCGTGAACCGAATTAACTATCTTTTAATAGCCCACACACTAAGGGACGTGTGGCGCTTGTTAACCGATTGCAACAATGTTGCAATCGGTAATTAGTGGCTCTCCTAGGTGGCCGTCGTTCGGGCTACCGGCCACACGGCGGTCAGCCATCTTGGATCCTTTGTTCCCCCCCAGCGGTGTTTGGTCGTCGAGTGCATGGAACTGAAAACGGCTACTCGACGGCGCAAACGGTATTTTGGGGCAAACTCTATGGCAAAGTGTATTTCGTGCGGCGTTCGGTTGTTTTAGCTGGGATCTGAGCGGGGTTCTCACGAACTGTGCATTCAGACCCCAGCTATCTACCGAACGTCCATTCATTTAAATCTGCCAAATATTATTGACGTTATAGATTTTAATGTAACTTGTCGGTTCTGCTGAACAGAGGGATAATCCACTTAACGGTACATTCCAGTGGGAGTGTCCCTCTCGTGCAGCAGTGCCTGATGGGAGAAATGCCCTGTACATTAAGTTTCCCATGTAGTCCACTCCTGTAATGCCCCTGTGATGTGACTCAGGAAACCCCTTGCATGGGGAATTGTATAAATACTGGAGCATGTGATTTAAGACCTCAGTTGACTCCCAACTTCGTCCGGTTACTGGGGGATTTGGGATATTGCCTTACTTTTCAGCGCTTGACTGTGGATTACTTTCTGTACCAGCGGAATTCGTGGGATTTAATATTGCCGATCCGCACTGCTGCACGAGAGGGATCCTCCCACTGGAATATACCGTTAAGTGGATTATCCCTCCGTGCAGCAGAACCGGCAATTACTTTAAAATGTACAGTTCTTCGACTATTTGGACTATTTGCACGAATGGACGTTCGGTAGATAGCTGGGGTCTGAGCGCATCATTCGTGAGATTACCGCTCAGATCCCAGCTAAAACAACCGAACGCCGCACGAAAAACATATTCATTAAAACACACATTCAAAAGACCGATTGAAGTATAGGGAATATAATACCGAACGGCCCGGAACTCCCGAACAGCCTGGAAGTTCAGCACCTCTAAGTGTGTGGGCTATTACATGGTGGTTATTTCGGTTCACGAACGGCCCGCAAAGGTGCCGTTCGTGAAACAAAATGGAATACAGCTATCTGCGTTCGGCAGATAGCCAATACAGGAAATACAAGGTATTACAGCCAGCATACATTATACTTATGCACACACATACCCCACAACCATACAGGCAACCCTTAAAGGTACAGTCTCTTTATATTGTCCAAGTGGCTAGGTTTGCCACACTCACCCTTCCAGACTTGATGCCCCCTCCTGCTTTAGCGCCGCCCGGATGATGGGTCTATCCAATGCACATCAGAGAGGAGTATTGTGTGCCTGAGGCACATGCAATGATTCTCTATTGCCGACCATGACAGCACTGTGCATGCATGCGTAACGTCAAGGTATGTTACAGTATGAGAATTGGGAAGTAAGATTCCTGGCTCTCATACCCAGAAGGCTTGGAGACATGTCTTGAGGTCGCTCTTCTAAGCCCTATATTTAGACACACACACGCATAAGGACATACAGACACTGACATACATACACACAGACATACATTCATACTGGCATACACTGACACTGGCATACATACATACTGACAGACATATATACATGCATACAGACACTGATATCCATACACACACACACATACATACATACACACAGACATACATTCATATTGACATACAGACATACATTGGTACTGGTATACATACATATATACATACTGACATGCATGCATACAGACACTGACATCCATACATACACACAGACATACATTCATACAGACATACATTCATACTCATGCATACATACATGTATACATACTGACAGACCTACATATATACACATACTGACAGACATACATATATACATAATGACAGACATACACACTGACACAGACAGCTCATTTGTCAGCCACCCTCCTGTTTCTTACTGTTTCTTTGCAGGAGGGTGACTGGGGCTGATGGGAGTCAGCATGGCTCTCCCTCTTCTAGGCCTCCACGCTGGCTCTCCTCCTGCGCATAGTGAGCTGGGAGGAAGTGACCGGCCGTCACTTCCTCCGAGCAGCACTTGCGTTACGGCTGCATTTTTTTATGCAAGGGGCCCTGTTGCGCTATAACACGGTCACAGCGCTGACAGTGCCCCTGAAGATATAGGGCCCATCGGGTGGCCCTAAGTGTGTGGGCCACCCGATGGGCCCCATTAGCGCGCGGCCCCAAGTGCAACTGCACTGGCGGCAATTCCGTCGCTGCACATGGGTCTCGGGCAATTTCAAAAATTTACACTGAACCTGGAGAGTATGCCCGCAAAAGATTTACTTGATATGTTTCATGGTTCAGATTCCACATATTGCTTCCTATTATACTCTATGGGCATTCCATTGTATCATTTACCTTTCATTCCATAGAAAAGAGCTATAATCTCAGTTATTTTTACTTTTACAATCTACTGCTGTACTTGGGGAACACCTGTGGAAAAGATGAATTTGCTACACAACACAGATTTACCTGCAAATGAGTTTATGTGTTGCCTCCCATTATAGTCTATGGGCATTCTCTTTAGTCATTCACCATTGTCATTCTATAGAAAACAATGATAATCCCACTTAATCTCAATTTCAAAAAATTGCCATTGAACTCGTAGAGTATGCCTGCAAAAGATTTACTTGATATGTTTTACGGTTCAGATTCCAAGTCACATATTGCTTCCCATTATACTCTATGGGCATTCCATTGTATCATTTACCTGTCATTCCATAGAAAAGAGCTATAATCCCAGTTATTTTTAATTTTAGAATCTACTGCTGTATTTGGGGAACACATGTGGTAAAGATAAATTTGCTACATAACACAGATGTACCTGCAAATTAGTTTATGTGTTGCCTCCCATTATAGTCTATGGGCATTCCCTTTAGTCATTCACCATTGTCATTCTATAGAAAACAATGATAATCCCACTTAATCTCAATTTAATAAAAATTGCCACTAAACTCGCAGAGTATGCCTGCAAAAGATTTACTTGATATGTTTTACGGTTCAGATACCAAGTCACATATTGCTTCCCATTATACTCTATGGGCATTCCATTGCATCATTTACCTGTCATTCCATAGAAAAGAGCTATAATCCCAGTTATTTTTAGGTTTAGAATCTACTGCTGTACTTGGGGAACACCTGTGGAAAAGATGAATTTGCTACACAACAGAGATTTACCTGCAAATGAGTTTATGTGTTGCCTCCCATTATAGTCTATGGGCATTCTCTTTAGTCATTCACCATTGTCATTCTATAGAACACAATGATAATCCCACTTAATCTCAATTTCAAAAAATTGCCACTGAACTCGTAGAGTATGCCTGCAAAAGATTTACTTGATATGTTTCACGGTTCAGATTCCAAGTCACATATTGCTTCCCATTATACTCTATGGGCATTCCATTGCATCATTTACCTGTCATTCCATAGAAAAGAGCTATAATCCCAGTTACTTTTAATTTTAGAATCTACTGCTGTACTTGGGGAACACCTGTGATAAAGATGAATTTGCTACACAACAGAGATTTACCTGCAAATTAGTTTATGTGTTGCCTCCCATTATAGTCTATGGGCATTCTCTTTAGTCATTCACCATTGTCATTCTATAGAAAACAATGATAATCCCACTTAAACTCAATTTCAAAAATTGCCACTGAACTCGTAGAGTATGCCTGCAAAAGATTGACTTGATATGTTTCACGGTTCAGATTCCAAGTCACATATTGCTTCCCATTATACTCTATGGGCATTCCATTGTATCATTTACCTGTCATTCCATAGAAAAGAGCTATAATCCCAGTTACTTTTAATTTTACAATCTACTGCTGTACTTGGGGAACACCTGTGGTAAAGATGAATTTGCTACATAACAGAGATTTACCTGCAAATGAGTTTGTGTTGCCTCCCATTATAGTCTATGGGCATTCTCTTTAGTCATTCACCATTGTCATTCTATAAAAAACAATGATAATCCCACTTAATCTCAATTTAATAAAAATTGCCACTAAACTCGCAGAGTATGCCTGCAAAAGATTTACTTGATATGTTTTACGGTTCAGATACCAAGTCACATATTGCTTCCCATTATACTCTATGGGCATTCCATTGCATCATTTACCTGTCATTCTATAGAAAAGAGCTATAATCCCAGATAATTTTACTTTTACAATCTACTGCTGTACTTGGGGAACACCTGTGGTAAAGATGAATTTGCTACACAACACAGATTTACCTGCAAATTAGTTTATGTGTTGCCTCCCATTATAATCTATGGGCATTCTCTTTAGTCATTCACCATTGTCATTCTATAGAAAACAATGATAATCCCACTTAAACTCAATTTCAAAAATTGCCACTGAACTCGTAGAGTATGCCTGCAAAAGATTTACTTGATATGTTTCATGGTTCAGATTCCAAGTCACATATTGCTTCCCATTATACTCTATGGGCATTTCCATTGTATCATTTACCTGTCATTCCATAGAAAAGAGCTATAATCCCAGTAATTTTTAATTTAAGAATCTACTGCTGTACTTGGGGAACACCTGTGGTAAAGATGAATTTGCTACACAACACAGATTTACCTGCAAATGAGTTTATGTGTTGCCTCCCATTATAGTCTATGGGCATTCTCTTTAGTCATTCACCATTGTCATTCTATAGAAAACAATGATAATCCCACTTAAACTCAATTTAAAAAATTGCCACTGAACTCGTAGAGTATGCCTGCAAAAGATTTACTTGATATGTTTCATGGTTCAGATTCCAAGTCACATATTGCTTCCCATTATACTCTATGGGCATTCCATTGTATCATTTACCTGTCATTCCATAGAAAAGAGCTATAATCCCAGTAATTTTTAATTTTAGAATCTACTGCTGTACTTGGGGAACACATGTGGTAAAGATAAATTTGCTACATAACACAGATGTACCTGCGAATTAGTTTATGTGTTGCCTCCCATTATAGTCTATGGGCATTCTCTTTAGTCATTCACCATTGTCATTCTATAGAAAACAATGATAATCCCACTTAATCTCAATTTTAAAAAATTGCCACTGAACTCGCAGAGTATGCCTGCAAAAGCTTTACTTGATATGTTTCATGGTTCAGATTCCAAATCACATATTACTTCCATTATACTCTATGGGCATTCCATTGCATCATTTACATGACATTCCATAGAAAAGAGCTATAATCCCAGTTACTTTTAATTTTACAATCTACTGCTGTACTTGGGGAACACCTGTGGAAAAGATAAATTTGCTACATAACAGAGATTTACCTGCAAATGAGTTTATGTGTTGCCTCCCATTATAGTCTATGGGCATTCTCTTTAGTCATTCACCATTGTCATTCTATAGAAAACAATGATAATCCCACTTAATTTCAATTTCAAAAATTGACACCGAATCTGGAGAGTATTGTGGCAAAATATGGATTTCATATGTGTAATAGTTTTGTCTCTAATTGAAATATTTTGTTTCCATTATTCTCTATGGGCATTCCTTTCACTTCCATTATTCTCTATGGGCATTCCACTGCCTTGTTAAAGTCTATGGGCATTCCAATCTGTCATTCCTTTTAGTATGTCCCCATAAGACTCATGTTTGTGATTAACCAATATATATATATATTGTATTTTCCTGTTTATGAAAACGCAAAATAAAGGTTGTCAAAAAAAAACAACAAAAAAAACAATATATATATATATATATATATATATATATATATATATATATATATATATATATACATACACTAAAACAAGTTACCATCTGATTGAAAATGGAACAATTTTGCATTCAGGCTGTGTCAGCCACATTCAGGGGAGGTGTGACTAGGGCTGCATGGACAGAAACAAATGTGATATAACTTCTAAATGGCAGAGAACTGAGCAGTGAAACTGCAGGGGCATATTACAGCCGTTTACTTAATAACTCCCCAAATTGGCATTCTTGTTTGATACCAAATTAAGGAGCTGTTTAGTAGATAACTCATTTTTTGTATCCTTATGGCAATCCCTCAAGGATTAAGGAGAATCTAAGAATCTGAAAGACCATTTCTTTTCTTAATTGTGGTCTTTCAGACAACTTTACTGATACTCTAAATGGTTAAATCCTCCCTCCTGACCCTACCTGCCTTCTCACAAGTAGTGGCATGTCTACTTAACAGCAGGCAGCCAGTGGCTGCACGCTGTTATAAAAAAAAGACAAGTGGCTAATAGAATAATAAACTAGTGTCACCCCTTTCCCAACGAGTGGGGGCTGTTAAACTAAAGAGGGAGGACCTGGTGTCCCCCTCCAGTCCCTGGATGGGCGCTATTTAAAATAAATTTTAAAAAAAAGCCGATAGCTCCCACCTTGTAGCTAGAACGAATGCACTGACAAAATTTAGTCCAAAAAGCAATTAATTTTTCGTTTAATTTATTTGTTCATTTGTCTTTTGGACAAATGGACAAAAAGCCCAAGTCAGTAGGAATGACACAAGAAGATCTCGTGAGACAACAGAGGAAGGACAGGACAGAGAGGTTGAGTGATGTGGGAAAGTTTTCTGTAAAAAAGGAAGTGGAGCTTGTTTAAGTTCTACCCTTCTGTCATATTTGTCAAGAGTAGAAAACTGAATTAGACAAAGTAATCCCTACTTTGTCATGTATTTTTTAAAGAGAATTCCGATATTAAGAAAATAAGAACAGATTGTGGAAGATGAGAGGAAACATTAGGAGAAAGGTTAGTTTTAGGTGACAGAGCCACTTTAATTAGTAACATTTGCTGAATATGTGAAAATGTGGTTGGAATTTAAAAAACTAAAAAACTAAAAAGAACACCAGTGTAAATATCTAGTGCCTATAGTAACTCATAGTGTGTTTTACTTCTACAGGTTTCAATGACAATGAGAGATTACTGTTATGTGTAAATCTATGTCCTAAAATTAGAATACTCTCTTAAAGCAAAATGTCTCTGTCTCCTGAGAAAGCAACTGAGCTGAAACAAATCATCCACGAGCAACTGACCCGGGTAAGTTAATGTAGTGAACACTGCTTACTGGTTTATGTCTAAATGCTTGCTCATACAGAAAATAGTATAGACTGCATGGTGAGCAAATATTTATGGTCATAGTTTAACTTTAGTTAATAAATCAAATTTGTGGTTTCATTTGTGACAAGCTTCATGTGTAGTTAAAAAAATAAAATAAAAAAAAAATGCAAGCAATATTAACACTCCATACAAATTCAGTAAAGTCCTCTTATTCGATTCTTACTGTGGACTGTAAAATCACAGTGGAAAGCATTTTAATCATAAAACAGAATTAAATAGTGACTGGTTTTATTGCCATATTCAACAAAGTTGTTTTGTAAATACATTCCCAGCGCATGAGATGTAATTGTTCTAATATCCTACCAACAAGCATGTTTTAAACTTGCTAAGATACTATAGGAATGGAGTGACAGATGTCACTCGGTTATATCTCCGAAGCTTTGGAAAAGAAGCCAGCAATGTTGGTGTCATGGGGAGG